AGACGTGCTAGACGATGTCTTGGAAGTAGCTGGGGTCCTGTGGCAGGCCTCCTTGCAGACAAGTTGTTTTCTTTTAGTCTTCGTCAGATTGTTCTCTCACTGACTTGAGTTCTACGCACGGCTTGTAGCAGATGTTGATTCTGAAACGCTGCAATTCTACGATTTCATAAAGTATTCAGGACAATAAAGCGGTCGTCAATGGGCTTGTTTCACAATTTTTTTTTATTTTACCAATCGAAAGTAGAACTAAAAAATAACAGATCTACCAAAAATTAGAATTTTATTCGTACGTTTAGTACCTCAAAAACACGTACAAATATCTATTGCGCGAGAAAGGGGCGTGGCCAGCCGCTACGTCATAGCACCACAGGTCGGCTGGCGACCGCGCCTCAATACAATGCACAGGTCTGCTTTGCCCGATTAGTGTGTTGTAAATTTATAGTATAACGTAGTGTAGTAATAAAGTCTTTTTTTTCAATATTTGTGTAAAAAAGACAAGGAAACGTTTGTGTAGTGCCAAAATGCACAAATACGAATAAAAATTCCCCAAAAATACTATTTATTTCTTTACCGTCCGACATAAAGTTAAGACGAGCATGGCAGCGTGCAATGCGAAGACATGATTTTGTCTCTGACAGAGGCACCAGATTTTGTTGTGAAGATCACTTTAATGTAAGTTAATACTTACAAGTAGTGTTTCCTTTTTTTTTAATTATAGGTGGAAGAAGAGAGAAAATTACATATATGTACTTAAAAACTATGAAATCGGGAAGAATAAAATTAAAATCAGGTGTTATTCCTCAAATTTTTCAGTGCCAAAAAAAACGATCTTCTGCTTCAAATACTGTAAAGCCTCGAGGATTGGCGAAAAAAGAGAACAAGCAGCCATTATTAAGGAAATATTGAAAGACGACGCGAGGCAGGCGGCAAATGAAAATGTTCATTTCGGGGTCAATACAGTAGACAAGGATCTTAAAATGCATGATCAAGAGGAGCGCATTTCAAACCATCAAATTTATGCAGCCACATAAGAAATGCTACCGCATACTTGCCATTCATCATACTTGTCATTTCACTTTGCTTCTAGCACACTTTTTTCACTAGTATTTATAATGCATTGTACAGGGTGGGTCAAATTCGACGCTTTTAAATGGAAACACCCTTTTCTGTAGGAGATAGACAAAAACTAATATCGGTGTCTGGAGCTCAATTTTTGTCAAAAACATGATGGTGAAAACCGCATATCGATATCTGTCACCGTTTCGGAGTTACGGGGTGTTTTCCAAAATATGCATTTTTAATAAATCGCTGTAACTTTTATGTTATGGAATATGTTGTATTTTTATGAAAACATTTCCAAAGCACCTTTTTACGTAGACTTTAATGGTTTAAGTATAATTTTTGTAAAATTAATAATTTAAGAATTATCAACAAAAAATTTGATTTTTTATATGGGACACCCTGTATATTTTTAGTTTATTGAAAAGAATTTAAAATTACCTTTCCAAAAATACAACACACTTGATATTTTGCTCGATTCCTCTTCGAGATATAGAGTATATAAAAATTTGCCCGCTTTAAATAAGTAGGCTTTGAACGGCACCGGCTGTAATGCAAAAAATTCAAGCTGTGAGCATCAATTAAAAAGAAAATAATATTTGTTATGAGAGATGCAGAATTTTATAACAATTTAAAATATATATTAACCAACATCAACGCATTTAAACTATATCTAATAGCAATAAAAATAAATAGCAAACCAAGACATGAGATTTTGCTACAGGTGTTCGACATATCGACCGTCTTCTGTTATGGACAGACGGGGCAGTTTTTGAACATTTCTCGCGGAATTCATTAACTCAGTGGGGGTGAAAGATACCCTCTCATAACTGCTAAGTATTTCTAATTCTTGTCTAGATTATACGGAATAAGGAACCTTTATTCTTCAGCAAATATATCCATAGGATTAGATCCATGGGCACTAAGTCAGGCGGCCTCGACGGCCAACGGCTGGGATCTTGATTAGCTATTCAATTATTCTTGAAATTGGCTGCAAAAATTTGCTGATAACTTCAGCGTTCAGAGGCGGTGCGTCGTCATGCTGGAAAAATATGTTTTCGAGTTCCATTAAGGGCATATCAGCAATAAGGGATTCAAAGCCTACTAGTTAAAAGTGGCGAACTTTGAAAAATTCTGTATTTCGAAGGGGATTATAACAAAATATCAAGTGTGCTATATTTTTGGAAAGGTAATTTTATATTCTTTACAGTTAATTAAAAATATAGAGGGTGTCCCAAATAAAAAATCAATTTGTCTGTTGATAACTCTTAAATTATTAATTTTAAAAAAATTATACTTAAACCATTAAATTCTACGTAAAAAGGTGCTTTGGAAATGTTTTTATAGAAATACCAAATTTTCCATAGCAAAAAAGTTACAGCAATTTGTTAAAAATGCACATTTTTGAAAAACACCCCGTAACTCTGAAACGGTAACAGATATTGATGTGCGGTTTTCACCATCATATTTTTGATGAAAATTGAGCTCCAGACACCGATATTAGTTTTCGTCTATCTCCTATAGAAAAGGGTGTTTCCATTTAAAAGCGTCGAATTTGACCCACCCTGTACATTATAATTTTTTGCATTAATTTTGTGCTCCGGTGTAATTTTTGCCACTACTTGTCATAGTGATTGCTGTTGTTTTAACTGCACATATTAGCCAATGGAATTATTACCATAATTTTGTCTACCGGATCTGTAAGAAAAAAGTACATAGTTTACGTATCAGTTTTTACCTTAAAGTAGAAATATTTTTCTATATATTCATTGTATTACGTCTTTTCGCGGACCAACCTCGAACTAGTCCTAGTCAATCACATATCTTAAAATCAATTCAGTATTTGTCAGTTGTATATGAAACCACTGATTTTTTCTGGTTCGTGAAATTTTCGCGAGAATATTTATTAATAATTGATCAATAATTAATTTATTTTTGTTTTTTTTTTAAATTAAAATTTTTAAAATTTAAAAAATATCAAAAATAATTAAAAATAGTTTTCTACAAGCGTGTTAAAATGTTTTTCACGCACGCCGAGATATAATAATATTACTTTAAAGTACTAGTGCTTTAAAAGTTACTTTAGTTATTAAAGGAAACAAAAAAATATATATTTGAGAAAAGTCTCTTATTTACTTTTACAATTATATTAAGTATTAATTCAATATTAATTAAATTCATATTCTAACTTAATTATATTATTAATACATCCATCATCCATCACAGATAATCCAAACCAAACCCAACATCCATCACAGATAATGGCATTTTTTAATTTAACAATGATGTCGCCTTGATTATTTACACATAAAATTTTCTGCCTGCGAAGCATTTTTCCGAGACGTTCGTTTTAAATAGTGGTAGCGGTAGAACCCAAATATACGAAAAACGTTTCAAATAATGATAGAAGCAAACCACTTGGTATAGGTGGTATATACACATAAACAATAGATTTGACCCGCAGCACCTTATTGTAAGTGGAGGCAAATTCAAAATGGCGGCGTTTTTTTAGAATTACTGTTTTTGGTTTGGTTGCGAGACGATATCTTTATTTTCTTACAAAGGAAAAAAGTCTGCCTGGAAATCATGGAATTCGCAGAGCGATAAGGCAACCAAAACCTCTCAAGCGATTTGAAGCCCATTCCGGACGATGTCGTCAAAGTTCTTGCTAGCTACACTGTTCAGATGTACAATCCACTTAGCACTGCAACCAACACTGACACCACAAGAAAAGAATTATTTTGTTTTTAAAACAAGCCAATTCATTTGATACCTCCGACTTCTGCAGCACTGTATCAACATATCCTAAGGGCTGCTTACCAAGCTGGTCAAGTCTGGCGTCGTTCTTACGATATGGATGACGTAACACCATCACCAAGGGATGGGGCTGGGTTGAAAAGAATTCAAAGTAGACTTATCTATGGTCTGTTCTTCCAAATGTATGGCAGACATGCCAAGAGCTAGCTAAATGCTCCTGTAATACTGGATGTAGCAGTAGTCGGTGTAAATTCAAAAGAAGTAGTCTTCCATGTACACTGCAATGCAGTTCCTGCAAAGACATGTGCACCAACAGTGTAATTGAAGAGTTGGTATTTTTATTTATTTTTATATTTTTCCGAGCTAGACAAACAAAAATTTCTGAGTAGACTTATTCTTTTTAATTTTTTATTTTAGTTTAGAAGATCCCGAAGACTAAGGAATGGTATCCGGCACCATGTAATAAATCACGCCATTTTATTTTTTTTTTCTTAAAAACGCAGTACTTTTAATAAATTATAAAAGTTAACATTGCTATTCTATTAATTTCAACCCCATTAGTCTCATAAGAATTAAGTTAAGCTGCGCCATTTTGAAAAATTCCGCCATTTTGAATCTGCCTCCACTCCTGATAAGGTGCTGCGGATCAAATCAACCTACTATTTGTAAGTAAACTTTCTGCCAAGTGGTTTTATTCTATCACGATTTGAATTTGTTTTTTTGGTCTACCGCTACGACTAAAAGCAGCGTATCTCAATATAAACAGAGATAATGTCGTGATTAAAAAAATAAAATGCTCACAAAAGATGAGGCTACAATTTGATTTGATTTAGCAATAGCTACTATAGCTGCTGCACCCTACAGGGTGTTACAAAGTTCGGGCAAAAAACTTCGTCTTATTGTTATGCCCTGTATATGCTCAAAATAAATTCGGAATAAAAATTTCTGACGTAGCATCCGTTAAGAAGGAATTAATTTACGATTTAAAAAAAATCATGAAAATCATCGCAATCTAATGAGTGGATCGCGAGATATCCAACTTTGAAATTGGGACAAGTTTTTAGTGGCCGTTTTTTTTGCCGGTGAGTTTATTAAAACTAAAAGTCGATACTTACTTATTATAGAATATACGGTTTATTAAAATCATTCCACAAATAAGAATAAAATATATATTATTGTTTTAGAATGGCATGGGTCAATTAGAAATAATTCCAGGAGGCCTAAGACTGAAAGGAAACGCTTTTGTGTTAGAAAATCTAGTAGCCAGTCAAATTAGATCTAGAAGAGGAGAGCCAATAGTGGTGGAATCCAGTAGAAATATTAGTCTGAAATCTAGGAACAAACGCGGATACCTTAGTAGCTATATTCATTTAGGTAAGTTTGCCATAAACAGATAAAAATAAATTGCTTTCTTTATTCTACCACAGAGAGTAAGTGGAAAGTAATTTCAAAGCTGCAAAAAGGCTTGCATTGTGTTAAAATTTACTAGAGGCTAGACTCTCAGTAGTTTTCGAAAACTTCAATCACTTATACAAAAATTTACCCTACCATAAAAACTTATTTGAAAAATAATATTCTATTCAAGTTTTAACCAACTAGAATGTCAATTTTCAAATAATATGCTTGATAAATAAACAATAGAATGGTAATTTGTATATAACAACTTTTCTATCATATCCTAAAGAATTATGGTCATTAACTTAATGTAATCAATCATTTTAGGTGTGGATAGGTTTGAGTGTTCAACCAATCGCTTCCACATACTAGATGACCGAGGTCAAGCCGTGTTTTCGGCGGACAGGAATCAAGTGACCGTTGGTACTGATAGTCTGAGGATAACAGGTGAAGGAGGTACCTGTTTCAAAGGATCAGTGCAAACCAAATTGGTGAGGGCAGAAACTGGACATGACTTAAGGTAAAGAGGTAGCTCTTAATTAAAACGTTGAGACCGAGACTTTGAGTTTTTTTTCTACTTCTTTTTAATTTAAACCAGGTCTCATTGAGAAGAATGGCCGCCTTTTTTAAAAGATGTAGCTGACTTCAGAAAATTTGTGTATCCTTTTTGTTATTATTAGTTGGATAAATATTTTAAAATCTATCTTTTTAATATGTTATAGGGATGTTAAAGATTCATTCAGTTATTTATTTCTTGTAATAACTAAAAAAAAATAAATAAAATTTAGTGTACTGGGTGCGTCTAAAAAGTGGCTCAACCCTATAACTTTTTTATTTTTTCAGAAAAAAAAAACCAGATTTGGTATATTAGTATATGATTGACATATTCAATTATTTTTGGGCACTTCCTGTTTCATAGGAAATAACTACAACTTTTGATTTTGAAATGGCACCTTCGGTATTTTGTTACTTTATTCGATAGAAAATGACACTCTGAATAAAATGATATATCCTATGTAAAATGCTGACATTTTCGCATATGGTTTATTTGAAATTGTAACATGCGGTTCATAACGATAGTTTGACTCGAAATACCAAGTGTGTGGTACCAAATTATTCGTAAAAAATGATTTTCCAAATTTTGTTTTATTTGAAAAAATTGAGATATGGTTAAAAATACGATTTGGGCATCTTTTAACCCGCCAGGACAAGACACGAAAAACATTAGACGATCTGATATATTTTTGCCAAAGCTCCGTGATTAAAAATTAGTGTTTTTAACACAGCCATGGCATTCTGGATTGAAATTTAAAATAAGATTTTTTATTGTGTAAAAATGGCAAAAGTTAACATATCATATATTTCATTCTATTCAAAGTGTCATTTTCTAGTGAATAAAGTAAAAATATCCCAAGGGGACCATTTAAAAATCAAAAGTTGTAGTCACTTCCGTTTGAATTGATAAAATAAAAAAGTTATAGGGATGAGCCACTTTTGAGACGCACCTGGTACTAGGATGTAACTATTTTAGTTAATTGCTTTCATAATAATAAAAAATAATATACAGGGTGAGCGCTTTAATATCAATTATGAAAGCAATAATTGATATTAAATCGCAGTTTAAAATTATTTTAAACTCCAACACAATAATAATAATAATAATAATAATAGCCTTTATTTCCAACAGGCAATTAGAGCCCACTTACAGGAAATACAATCTAAACAATAGGTTGTTACTAAACATTAAATATCAAATTTACAAAAACCAAGAAAAAAAAATACAAAAAGAGAAAACTAAACCTAAATCTAAACCTAAATGAATCAATCATAATAATAACAACAATAACAAATTATTAATTATAAATTACTATTATAAACAATAGTTAACCATTAATGCCCCTCACCCACCAGTGAGACCAAATGACCCACAGAGCAGTCAAACACATCACAGTCAACGGAGACAGAGTTAAGGTTGCTACACATGGTGAAAATCGGATCCTGAAACCTAACGTTAGTTCTAGCTCGAGGAAGCGCAAAAGTGGTATTCGCTCTGGAGGTAGGTCGTTGCACCCGGAATGGTATCGTTTCCAAAAGAGTTAGGGAATCTACAAGACCATTCAGCAGTTTCCACAGGAAAGTTACTGAGTGAATGATCCTTCTCAAGGAAAGTGGTTGCACATCGAACCGAGACAACAGCTCAATGTGATCCACACCTCTAACAGGGTAAACCCCCTTCTCCCTGAACACCAGTTGCTTTAAGAAACGCCTCTGTACTGAATCAAGGGATGCAACATGACACTCATAGATTGGACACCATACCAAAGATCCATACTCCAGCCTTGACCTGACCAACGAAAAATAGAGCAGCTTGAGAGGTTCAGAACCTACGAAGAGTTTACAGTTACGAATAATAAAGCCAAGAAGTCTTGACGAACTCGCAACAATTTGATCAATATGAGTTATAAAGGTTAGTCGGTCGTCAAATACGACACCCAGATCCCTAAACGTTGTCCTTCTAGACAGTATATTGTTGGCAATACTGTAATCAAACTGCACGGGAACCTGGGTTCTATGATATGACATGACACAGCATTTCGAGACGTTGAGGTTCAATCGATTCTGAGTACACCACTGGTTAATTCTATCAATATTGCTTTGCAAGAAAAGACAGTCCTCATGCCCGTCAATCTGCCAGTAGATCTTCAGATCATCGGCATAAGCCAGTTTTAAGCTGGAAATGCTTGTTAAGAGGTCATTTATGAATAAATTGAATAGTAGTGGGCCGAGATTGGACCCTGGGGAACTCCGGAAGTTGGAGTAAATGTGTCCGAGCGGTAACCCTCGACCTCAACAAACTGAAGACGATCAATGAGATATGAGCACATGAGTGCTGTCAGTCTGTCAGAAAAAATTGAATTGACCACTTAACTTCGCTAGCAAGATCTGATGATCGATTGATCAAATGCTTTGCTGAAGTCAGTATACACCACATCAACCTGACCCCTTTCATCAAGAACTGAACTAACAACGTGTGACAAGGCACAGAGATTAGTAATACATGATCTTTTAGAATAGAAACCATGTTGGTCATTAGATATTCTGGATCTACACTGCGAGAACAAGGACTTATAAACGATAATTTCAAACAACTTGGAAAAATTACAGAGTATGGAAATAGGCCGATAATTGTCAACTCTCTGGAGGTCGTCCTTTTTATGAACCGGTAGAACTTTAGCTGATTTCCAGGCAACCGGAAAACAGCCATTCTTCAGAATTAAATTAAAGATGTGGCATAGTGGAAGGCATTGAACAAACGCGCAATCTTTTACAATGAAGCTGGGAATGCCATCCGGGCCCGCAGTCATTTTGTTCTTAAGGGATCTACTCGCTGTGATAACTTCGTCGGCGGTTATTGTTGGGGAGACATCAACAAGATCAGAGGAGGACAACGAAGGAAAAACATCGTCTGCTTGAGCAGAATTCCTATACGCACTCTGGAAAAAGTTTGCAAACGCTGATACAATTACCTCTGGGCCCCGAAATGAAGCACCAAGGGGGCCGTACATAGTGGCCGGCAGCAATGATTGACCACGTTTAGCCTTAATAAAGGACCAGAAGGACGAGGGATCAGTGGCGATGTTCGCCTCTGTACGGGTCACATAAGCTTTATAGGCTTCTCGAGCTTGAGATTTTACTAATTGGCGGAGAGAGCTATACTTGCGGAAATGATAATTAGTACGATAGAGTTTAAAGTCACGGTATGCCTTTTCTTTCTTAAAAATGGTGGTAATTAACAATTTAGAGTACCATACCGGAAATCTGCGGCGCCTGGGACGCTTCAATGGAGTTGACTCAGAAAATATAGTGTTTAGAATCCTATAGAGTTCGTCGCAACTAGCATTAACATCCGCGCACTGCAGAACAGAAGACCAGTCAGCCTCGAGCAAGGAATTATACATCAGGGAAAATTGGCTTTCCTGAAGTTAAGGTGGGGAACACCATTCCTGGAACCGGCAAATCGGATGAGTGAGGCAAAGTGGTACGAATCGATATATCGAGAGCGGGATGATACAGGTCCTCAGGCAAAAGCGGTACATGGCTTCTGACAACATCAGTATCGAAGTTTGCAAAAACCAAATCCAGAAGACGATCGTTGTGATTAGTTACACTGTTGCGCTGAGTGAGGCCCAATGTTTCACAGAAAGTGGTAAGAATTCTACTCTTGTTATTGGACACCTGAGAGTGGTAGGACGGAACATTGAAATCGCCAACAACGACGAGCCGGCCTGACATAAATAAATTAATTGAGGCAATTGCCTCACAAACAGTTTCAAGGTCATTAACGCTGGTGGTAGGAGGGACGTAAATTACAATTAAATAAAAAACAAAATAGCTTACAGTAATCTTACAGCCTACTAGGTCAATCACAGGCGTAGTATCAGTTATGTCGACTAGATTAATACGTTCCGGCTCCATCTTGCTGCCGACTGCCACCAGGACTCCACCACCACGGGTTGTGGGAACTCTATCCAGCTGTCTGTCAGATCTGAACACAATAAATGATTCAGGAAATAATTCGGCATCGAAAATATCAGGTTGGAGCCACGTTTCGGTAATAGTGATAATGTCGAAGCCGCACACACTGACAGAAGAGAAAAAACGATCAGTTTTAGTACGTAAGCCTCTTACATTCTGATAGCAGAGGGATAAGTGCCTAGAGGCGACATCCTTTAGTTTTTTGAGGCGATAAAAGGTTTACCACGTTCGAACTTTATCACTAGGTTTGCCTCACCATTGGATCGACGCGCTCCAGATCATCCTTCACTCTCTGCAGGTCTTCCCTCTGACCGGGACTCAGGTCAGCTTCAACGTAAATTCTTTTGGAGGAAATAAACTTAGAGCGGAGTTTTAATATATTTGCCACATCAGTGTGATTTGACAAAACAAGCTTGATGGACTTGCGACCATTACGATTGGGCCTTCCCAATTTAACAACATCGTTAACTTGCACCTGCTTACCGGTCACCGTTTGCAGAATATTGGATACCTGTGTAGCTTCAGGAATATCAGGCAATAGCTCCATATTGTACAGCATGACGTTGTTCATGCGCTTCTGACGCTCGAAAATCTCCTGCATTAAACCGCCATTATCCATACTGGGAGGGTCCGCAACGACAGTCTGTGTTGAAACCCCCTGAGCAGTGATTTTTCCATTCAAGATGTCAATCTCCGAAGAAAGTTCAGCAGACCTGGACTCAAGGTCAGCTTTAAGGGCATCACAGTAAGATTTAGTGTGATCAGCTTTCGCACTTATTAGATTACTGAGGTCTTGATTAAGCTTCTCAACCTTTTCGCCGAGGCCAAATTCCCAGACTGCAAGACGGGTAGGGCCACAAGCGCGTCGCGGATTGAGCTGCGGCAGTGAAAACAGTAGAAATTAATGACCCTGGATTGGGAAACTAGAGCTCTGATTTCGCATGACGAGATTTCCGAGCATTTACTACAGAACACTTGCTTGCAAAAGTCGCATGGAGCACCGAAGAGGTCCTTAATGTCTTTGCTTCTAGTGACGTCCTTGAAAACGCAAACCACACTACATTTCACGCACGCAGACATGATTAAATCATATAGAGTACTAAGTAATTAAGTATTAACGTTAACGGTAAAACAGCGTAGGACACGAACGAGATTAGGTATGTTCGTGCGAAAACTCCTCAATGTGGGCAACACGATAAAAAATGAACGGCTAATCACTTAAAGTAAACAAAAAAAAATCCACCATTTAACTATATTTAACGATTCTCCAGGGCCTCAAGCGCGAAAAATCGGGGACGTTGGTCTATTCACAATTAAGAAGTAATGTCAGATGAAAGCACACAATTTCCTGCACATGCACATATCAGACACGACTATAAAAATAGATTCATAACTATGAAAACAGAGTAGAATTGATGGAAATAATAATAGCGCGCCCGTTGTGCATCGTTGTTCGTGATCGATTGGTAAAGCTGCTAAAGTTTGGAACTATTCAAGAAACCTTTCATCGATACATTCACTGGCACATACCTATAAAGTACTAACATAAATAAATTAAATTATTCATGATCGTAAACTATTAACAATCCAATATTGTGTCCAATGTGCCCCCCCCCCCTTCGTTTATCCGTTAGAGATCATCAAATTTAAAAAAAAATAAACACAGTTAAAATATTTTAAGAATCGGTATTGCGATTTGAATGAAATTCGCGGGGCCTATGTTTTGCTAAAAGCTTAAACATTTGACTTCACATGAATCAAGACAAATACTGGAAGGGCTTGCTAATATCTTCGGTTTGAAAGAGGATAGCCAGATGCAGTTTTCGCTGACTTTTTAAGCTATTATTACTCTTTACTATCACATTTAATTTTTTTAATTGTTACTGTTAAATTGTAAGACAGCGCCCCCTAGAGTCTAAGTTCAAAATATTATTAGATTATTATTAATATTTATATGGTGTAATACAGATTAAAGAACGCTCTTTTAATGAATAATTACACAATAAACCGCTCACAAATATATGACATTAATATAATATATTTAAATATTATTTCGCCATGTTTGTTTCGCATAAAGGAAAAGCGTACTAGATTAATTGCTAAATTTCCTGCAAACTACTTCAGATTGTCCCCGAGGCATTGTAAGCTTAGTACGAGCTGGTAAATAAATGTTTTGTTGACAGTTTAAAGTTCTAGCTTACATAATACATAACACCTGTTATTAAATTTCCCTTCATTAAATATGGTTCATTTTTTATGCATCTCTCTCTATTAATTTTATTGTCTAAAATATACTATATGATGAAAAAACTGCGTCAGAAACGGGCTATGAAATGAAGATCGATGTCAGTTTAGATGTAAAATTATATGGTGAATGTGTGATTGATGTTCATTTCCATGCCAATTGGACGCCGATTTTGTTCGATCATACGGTATTAATGTATTAAATAATAATAGGTGTATACCGGGTGCGTCTCAAAAGTGGCTCACCCCCATAACTTTTTTATTTTTTTAGATAAAGAAACTAGATTTGGTATGTTAGTATACGACATAAATTAGGATTGATTGACGTATTCACTTGTTTTCGGTTACTTCCTGTTTCACCGGTAACGACTACAACTTTTGATTTTTAAATGGCACCCTCGGTATTTTTTTACTTTATTCGATAGAAAATAGCACTCTCAATCGAATTGCATATCATATGTCAACTTTTGGCATATTCGCTCAAAAACAAATTGTATTTTAAATATCAATCTAGAGTGCCATGACTGTGTTAAAACACTAATTTTTAATCAAGGAGCCTTTGAAAAATAGATTTAATCGTTTAATGTTTTTAGTGTCTTGTCCTGGTCGGTTAAAAGAGGCCCAAATCTTATTTTTAATCATATCTCAATTTTTTCAAATGGAACAAGGGTGGCTCATTAGCATATTTGGAAAAGGCATTTTTTACGAATAATTTGATACCACACACTTAGTATTTCGAGTCAAATTGTCTTTATGAACCGCATGTTATAATTTCAAATAAACCATATGCGAAAATGACAAAAGTTGACATATGATATGTCATTCTATTCAGACTGTCATTTTCTAACGAATAAAGTAAAAAAATTACGAGGATGCCATTTAAAAATCAAAAGTTTTAGTCATTTTCAGTGAAACCGGATGTGAGCGAAAAAAATTGAATATGTGATTCAATTCAAATTTATGTCATATACTAACATACCAACTCTCGTTGTTTTATCTGAAAAAATAAAAAAGTTATAGGAGCGATCCACATTTGAGACGCATCCGGTATTGCAAAATTCGTTAAATTATTTTATACACCCGGGATGTTTCGTACATAAACTAGTGTTTATAGTTCCTAAACTCTGATATTTTTTGTATTTTTATCAGTTTTTCATTGTTATTATGATATTCTGCATAAACAAAACTAATTTTCAATGCACAAATTTAAGAAAAAATGAATTAATCGAGATACGGTAATTAGGCAATAAAAATATTTAGTAATTTGAAAATGTTAATTTATCTTTTATGTTTGTTATTTATTGAACGCAGAAAATTTGAAAATTATCAAAGAATTATACTTATAGCAAAATATTAATAATTGATCGAGAAGAACTGGAGCTTTTTTTGGTGTATTGCCCACTGTGGAAAGAAAGGAAATCTCTAGATACTACAGTATAGCCAGGGTTGCAGCTGAAATTAAAATATCCGTAGGTCATACTTTTGATGACATCGGGTCAATCAATAATTTCCTCTATCAGCTTGATATATTGATGTTGTTACCAGTACTGCTCATCAAGCAAGACGACAGTTAATTTAGAAACGTCTAGGTTTACTTATTTCACAGAGATTTATGAAAAAAAGTCCTTTGTCTCGGGTTTAGAAACCGACACGTCGTGGAAGTAGTCGAAATTTAACGAGACAACATGAGACAGCCAAAATTCGCCAAAAAATCTCCCTCCCCCTCCTCCATGTCCTTTGTCGCAATTTCACGAGTACTTTCGAGGCGTTTTAAGAAATGAAAATAAACCGAGATAAGACAAAGTTAGACGAGAAAACACGGAATAAGAGTCTCTACTATTCAACATTGACCTACTCCGACCTATTTCACGCATAGTGTAGAGGCTGTTTAATGGTAAAAATAATATTAATTCCATTAATAACATTGATATTTTTTCAGATTGGAATCATCAACTCGTGGTCTACAGATTCGCGCGCCCAGAGACCTGCTCCTAGAGTCGAGAGGCGGTCACGTGAGCACCATCGCTCTGAACGACGTTTCGTTCAAAAGCGAAGTGGGCGCCATCCATCTTCAGTCCTCATCCGTGATGGTGCCGCAACTGCCCACCGCCAAGGTCACCAATCGGCCAATGACGGCCCGGAGCTTTGATGTCTTCCAGTTGTGCGCATGCGAGAGCGGCAAACTGTTTCTTGCGTCGCCGCACGCGGTCTGCGCCAGCGAAAACGAAGACGGACTATGCCGATAATGTAGGTCTCTTCGTATCGCGAGATTGTAAGCGCGCGCCAGTTTTCTAGTTTAAGATTTAGGCACGGCATATAAAACAATCGGCAGTCTAACTCTGCCTAGATTCCATGGTTTAAAATGTCTATAAAACTTGACCTTGACAACGCCATTCGAGTAGCCAAGCCAGGGCTAGATTAAAATGTATCAAACATTTCCCAGAAATAAACTATTGATAGACAGGGTCGTATTAAAAAAAAGATACTGTACTGTTATGCACTGTATTTGGATTATTCAGTAAATAATATTCTCAACTCATTTTTATAGATCTGAAAAAAATACTGGGTTTTGGTTAAGCCTATAAAATATAGCACTTCATTGTGTTACGTCTAAGGCTGAGAACATAGTGGAGCGACGAGGAGAGCGGCGAGCAAGCAGCGCGACGTCGCGTCCAAAACAAACCTGTGAAGACAAGTACGCGTGAACATAGTAAAGCGATCTGCTCGAGCGGTTAGATCGAACGGCGAGATCGACTCAAATTATTTTCTTTTCGTCGCTTTGTCGCGCTGTAGAAAACGAGGGATTTCCAAAAATTAATAGATTTAGTGTTTGTAAGAGAGTTTTGATTGGACAAAAATATAGTAATCACCATAACCGGTATATTTTAGATAAGTTATCTCTCCGGGTTTTGAAAATTTCATGTTGTAGTGTACAAATTTCATGTACACTACATCTTTCCGTTTGTTGGTTTCGAATAAACCAAATGTTTGCGACACTACTGTCCAGAATTTTAGCTGCTGTTAACATTTAAAATAATAAAGAAGCAAATGAAACTAATAAAATTACAAGTACCTCGCTATTCCTCGCCGCTCTACTATGTTTTAGCACCTCGAGGCTCGATCGACGCGATATCGCGCTGCTTGCACGCCGCTCTCCTCGTCGCGCCACTATATTTTTAGCCTAAAGCTGGATTTATAAACTCGGAAGTTGGCGTTCAGTTGAGGTTCAGTTGCAGTTGGATGTTCGCGGCAGTTGAGGTTCAATATTTTTGCATTTATAAACTGTCAGTTTCGGTTGTAGGTTAGGTTTGGAATTGTGAAAATTTCGAACGTTTTTCTTTCGATTTGAAAATACTTCTGGTATTTGTCAAAGTTCAAACACAGTAATCCACGATTACGCAAAATATAAACATCACATTAACAGAAATAATGAAACAACAATAAGGGTCATTTTCCAATGCATCGGCGTACTGTGCTTCACGTGATCGACAGGCGCTTATTCATTGGCTGTCGCCGAACGTCGCCAGCGGTCGCCAACTGCCCGCAACTGCCGACATAAACATTGACCATCTTTGAACTCCGCTGAAAGTAAAACGAACTGCCAACTTTTCGACCAACTGGCTTTATAAATGCGCGCGTTCATTTCATAGCGTTGAACATTTTGAACGGCAACTGAACCTCAACTGAACCTCAACTCCCGAGTTTATAAATCCAGCTTAAAGCTTATAAACTCGGAAGTTGGCGTTCAGTTGCAGTTGGATGTTTGCGGCAGTTGAGGTTCAATATTTTTGCATTTATAAACTGTCAGTTTCGGTTGTAGGTTAGGTTTGGATTTGTGAAGATTTCGAACGTTTTTCTTTCGATTTAAAAATACTTGTGGTATTTGTCAAAGTTCAAACACAGTAATCCACGATTACGCAAAATATAAACATCACATTAACAGAAATAATGAAACAACAATAAGGGTCATTTTCCAATGCATCGGCGTCCTGTGCTTCACGTGATCGACAGGCGCTTATTCATTGGCTGTCGCCGAACGTCGCCAGCGGTCGCCAACTGCCCGCAACTGCCGACATAAACATTGACCATCTTTGAACTCCGCTGAAAGTAAAACGAACTGCCAACTTTTCGACCAACTGGCTTTATAAATGCGCGCGTTCATTTCATAGCGTTGAACATTTTGAACGGCAACTGAACCTCCACTGAACCTCAACTCCCGAGTTTATAAATCCAGCTTATGGCTAAGAACATAGTGGAGCGACGAGGATAGCGCGTCCAAAACAAACCTGTAAAGACAAGTACGTGCGAGCATAGTAAAGCGATCTGCTCGAGCGGTTAGATCGAGCGGCGAGATCGATTCAAATAATTTTGTTTTCGTCGCTCTGTCGCGCTGTAGAAAGATAGATTCTCAAAAATTAATAAATTTAGTATTTGTAAGAGAGATTTTATGGAATCAGAAAGATAGTAATCACCATAACCGATACATTTTAGATAAGTTATGAGATGAAGTGGCAACAAACTTTCATAAAGGTTATAAAACTTGCCATACTTTCTCGGGTTTTTGAGAACTTCATCTAACCAAATATTTGCGACACTACCGCCCAGAATTGTAGCCACTGTTAACATTTTAAATTATCAATAAGCAAATGAAAATAATAAATTTGCACAAGTATCTCGCTATTCCTCGCAGCTCTACTATGTTTCAGCATCTCGAGGCTTGCTCGACGCAATATCGCGCTGCTTGCTCGCCGCTATCCTCGTCGCGCCACTATGTTCTTAGCCTAAGTGTTTTAAGCTAACTTCTTACGTTATTAAACCCATCATGATTAAATCCTTAATATGTTTAGTATTGTTTAGTCTTCGATCCGGTAAATAAGAAATCATCTTAACTCAAGAATGTATAATAAGAGACAGAACAAATCGGGCTCTTCAAATGAAAATTGTTGTATTTCGCTCCGCCGCGCCGTAATATGTATTGAAATTTAGTTTAATTGTAATTTTTTATTGCTATAGAGTATTGTGTAAAGTTAAACGTAGTTTAAGCGTAGTTTACACGGGCAAGTAAATTATCGCAAGTATATGTCTGAGAGCACTTTTACCAAACTTGCATAATGTAAACAGTATCCGAAAGCACTCTCCCAGCAAGTCACAAAACTGGTTGCGACGAAAGACGCTTACCAATGTAAGCAGGTTGGGAGAGTGCTCTGGCAAGTTAAAATTTATTTCCGTCTTGTTGAAAGTTTTTGGTGCAAGTGATTTTCGAAGACGTGTTAAATAACGATATTAAAATGGAGTCTAATCGAAAGAAGATACCATCACTTTGATTAATTTATTTGAAGGATTTCCCGAATTGTGGCAAAAAAAATCGAAAATTTACAGAGAAAGAGCTAAAAAGCAAAAAGCAACCAAATATGTAGCTGACAAATTCAACACAACTAAGGCTGAGATTCAGGGGAAACTACATAATATTCGTACCCAAGCAAACCAGGAGTGGAACAAAATTATAAAAAGAAAAAGTAAAATCGACTTCTGACATTCGCAGAAAATTGTTTAAATGCTTTGGGTCTTCATTTCTTAATTTTTTTTAATAACATCGCGTAAGCTCCAAGACTAGGCCTGCTGGCAATCCATTCTTTAACCCATATTCTTTTTCTAGATTTTCTTGACTGTTTGCGTAAAATTGCAACAAGAAGAGCAGTGGCTGCAGCTCTCTTTTTACGGCGCGACATTTTTCTACTAAACAATATACTTGTGCAATATACACCATACCGTGTATACGTGCATGCAATTTCTTGAATCTCTTTCCCGTGTAAACTACGCTTTACACGGCATAGAAAATTGCGATAGAACTTGCTAGAGTAACTTGCGATAGTGTTTACATTTAAGCAAATATATTCTAGGCATATGCTTTGAGCAAGAAATTGCATGTACGTATACACGGTATTGTGTATATTGCACAAGTATATTGTTTAGTAGAAAAATGTCGCGGCGTAAAAAGAGAGCTGCAGCCATGCGTCTTCTTGTTGCAATTTTACGCAAACAGTCAAGAAAATCTAGAAAAAGAATATAGGTTAAAGAATGGATTGCCAGAAAGCCTAGTCTTGGAGCTTACGGGATGTTATTACAAAAAAGAAATGAAGACCACAAAAGCATTTAAACAATTTTCGTCGAATGTCAGAAGTCGATTTTACTTTTTCTTTTTAGAATTTTGTTCCACTCCTGGTTTGCTTGGGTACGAATATTATGTAGCTTCCGTTGAATCTCAGCCTCAGTTGTGTTGAATTTGTCAGCTATAAATTTGATTGCTTTTTGCTTTTTAGATCTATCTCTGTAAATTTTCTATTTTTTTTCCGAATTTCCACAACTCTGGAAATCCTTCAAATAAATTAATCAATGTTACACACTTTTAATATCAATGTTTAACACTTGCACCAAAAACTTTCAACGAGACGGAAATAAATTTTAACTTGCCAGAGCACTCTCCCAACCTGTTTACACTTGCAAGCGTCTTTCGTCGCAACCAGTTCCCCGCCAGTTTTGTGACTTGCTAGGAGAGTGCTTTCGGATACTGTTTACATTATGCAAGTTTGGTAGAAGTGCTCTCAGACATATACTTGCGATAATTTACTTGCCCGTGTAAACTACGCTTTAGGGTATTAACTTGCTATAGTATGTTAAAATATAAAGGCCTGTCCTACACAAAAATGTTCGTCTATACTAAGGGCTGGCAAAGGTTAGTCTTGGGTCACGATTTCCGTATGTAAGAAGAGTATAATGCGTTTATAATGTACTGAACAAAGAGAGAACAGTAAGCACGGTGCCAAACGTATGAAATAAACCGACAATCTGTGCGCATTGCTAAGAGACAACCGAGTCAACCCAATCAGTACCTCTGTCAGTACTTAGAGTTCTAGGGAATGGTGTATATATGTTTTTGTACATAGTTTTTTCAAAAACTTTCTTAACAATTCTGCTATATTTTCTTCGCAGACAGTATGTGAAAATTTTTATAAATAAAAAGTTACACGATTGCTGAAAATTGCTATTCACTAAAAGTAAATGAATGAGTTGTTTAAAATTTTTGAATGAAAAAAAAACAACGTTATCGAATTTTTCTTGTAAATATATTGTAAAAGAATCCGGTCTTCAAAATAAAAAAAAAAGTTTCAATATCTAAAGTGGTTGTTAAGTTATGGCGTGTTATGTGTTAAAATTTTTAAAAAAGTTTTTTTTAAATTATCGACATTACTGACGTTTTCTCATTATAAAAAAATGGACACCTTAGAGATATCCTTATAATTCCATTTCAGATGCTCAGAAACATATCTAATGATTTTATCTAGTTATCTTTTCGAAAAAAAAGTCTTTTGAAAATAAGCGGTTTGCGATCGTGATTTTCCTTTACTTGATAGGGAAAGACTTACCGGCAACGCCGCAACAGCACACCGTCGTATTTCTCTCACTCCGACTTAATAAGATCCTTACGCGATTTACTTCCACACATGTAAATACCGACCCAAAGAAACAGTTGCCAGCACGGTATAAATTCTTAAATTTTCACTGACTTTCTGTCAAATGAATTCCTTTTTCAGAGCAAAAGTATGGCTTAAGGCTTGCGGTAGACTGGATTTGTCCGCAAAAGTTGAAAAACTTTACTTACTTACTTACGTCACCGAATATGTGGCGTTATTTTAGTACGCGACTGTTTCTGGGAAGGGCAAAAGGAAACTTTAAAGGAAGGGAATCGTTAACCGCGCATACTCCTCGAAAAGTAAAAATGAAGAAGTAAATTAAACATTTGATTGTAGAGAATAGACACTTAAAATTAAAAAAACATGCAACTAACAAAAACATGCCCGGAGTTACAAACAAAAATTAATACCCAATAAAATATCTATTGAAAAATATAAAGAGGCTACGTACAAATTATGCCTATCAATGGTCGTAGCAAACTTTATTAACCCTATAAGGTTCACTATAATTAATCGTGCTCCGAAAAAAATAATACTTTTCTGCTCAAATGCGTCATGGTCATAGAACGCATTCTGATACTTGAAATCCCTTATAATGTAAGGAAAAGTGAAGTTTGAATAGGTTGCCATATGGCTACATTGATTATTAGCAGTACACAATGATTGTAGCCAAATGGCCACATGAAACTTGCGGAGGTAAGATATCTGCATTGACAGTATAGGAAAATGGCACTATAAATTGAAGACCGTATTTTTACTATCTTTGGAGAAAAAACATCCATATTTATAGAAATCATTTATTAACGACTGTTTGTTATACAGTAAAAAAGTAACACATTTTTTTCTTAAGAAAAAAAAATACTTCAGTGGTGAAAATGGTAAAAGCAATTTTTGTTCTCTGTAAGGCATAAGCGCATATTGCACTTTTGACATTCAATTCGAGACCACCCATTTGTGCAATATCTACACCGGCCTTTAGATGTGTGCATAGGCCAATGAGCTGTATTATCCAACCTTGAAGCATCCACAGGTCGTGGTGTGATTGGTTGCTCTATACGACTTTTGGGCTGAGTATCATACGAGGGTCTACCTTTCCTTTTTGGTTTCCCAGTGTCTTTTAGAGATTGCGCTATTTCCATTTTAAAAAATTTTAAGGCCACTGCTTTTTGTTTTAGTGCCGCGGATTCGGATCTATATAAAATCCACGCGTTTACAACACACATGTCTAGCATATATGTAAATAATGGTATGTACCATCTACGAGCTCTCCCTGAACTTCTGTAAAGTCCCAAAAGAGCATTGGCTTTGTCCACACCCCCCATATGCTTATTATAATTCTGGATAATTGAGGGGCATCGCACATCCACTTTTTTTTCTCTGCTTTAGAATACCTTTTAACTGTTCCCATTGGTTGAAGCCCGCAAAAGGTACTGCCTAACAGGACACACTTGTTATCGGCCCATTTCAAAATCATTATATTTTTATCCTTATCAGTTTTGAAATCGTATGACCCTCGGCCTCGCTTTTGAAGAACTTTATCGGAGATGAGCGTACAACCAGATATCCTATTAGACCTGATTGTACCAAGGCTCATTATGCCAAACTGATTTTTTAGATATATAAATAGTGGCAAACTAGAGAAATAATTATCAAAAAATAAGACAGCTTTTGGTTTCTCGTAAATACTCTTACAAAGCGCTATCACCACAGATGCTCCTACTCCAAGTGATTTTTCGTCATCATTCAGTTAGTTTGGTGTATCGCGAAGTTCATCGAAAGTATGCGTTCCTTGGTACGGTATAAAATCATATATAAAGCCCGAAACGCCTGCCCTAACAAACAACTTGAACCCCCATTTATGGGGTTTGTTTTTGATGTACTGACGAAGATTGCCTGCAAAAGTCCCCTTGTAAGGAACCATTGTTTCGTCAATGGAATATTGGTTCTCGAGTTGAAACTGTCGACAATTTGCTTTTATTTTATTTATTAGTGGGCGTATCTTGTAGAATCTATCTTTTGTTTCTTCTGTGATTTGGGAATTATCGGCAAAATGAAGAAAGCGGCGTATTTTTTTAAATCGTCTCGCAGGCATCGCATCTGCAACTTGTGGTATTCTTGTATGAATTGACCAATAATCTAAAATTGCTGGTAGTTTTATTATCCCCATAGTAAGAACTATTGTCAAGAAAGAGGTAAATTCAAAATTATCCAGGTCAAGAGAGCTACCGGTCACTTGAGTACAATATAGATTAGTTTGATCCACTATTTTTTGCATAAGATCAAACGAAAAGAATTTGGTGAAGTACTCTAAAGGCATTTTTATATTTTCGACTTGTGGAACCTCTGGGGGTAACAATAAATGCATGGGCAAGTCATCTTCCGTCCAGTTGTAAGTAGCTGTCTGCTTCTTTGTTTTCTTCTTGGGTGGTCTTATTGGCTCCTCTTCTTCAATATTCGAATAATCACTATCCATATCTGAATCCGAAACGACGATATCTTTATCTATCATAGCTCTTTCTTCTTCCGACTCCGATTCAAAAGCAAGAATATGGTCGCCCGCACCTTTTCCAATTTCTATCTCTTCTTCTTCTTCAGAACTGCTGTAGCCCGATAGGTTAGAATCCCGTAAGTTCTTAGGGACGTAAGGTATAGGCATATCATTTTTATTCTTTTGCACATAAAATTTGGAACAACTAACAGAAGCAAAATTTGACAAATCCATATCGACACTGATCTGAAAGAAAAATGTTAACGTTCGTTGTTGCCATATGTCTACGTCAAATTTCAAACTTATTTTACTCCTAAATACTTGTATTGTAAACATAAGTGATGTATGACTTAGGGCGATAAACTCACCTAAAATACCCCTGCCAAAAAGCAGAATTGAAAACAAACTATTACTTACCAAAATGACCAATAATAACACACTGCGTTACGCGCTATGCACACAGCTGAGAGAACGCAACCATTTTGTTTAGAAAAAAATTCTAAATCATGTCTCTAGATGGCGATACCCTACTACTCCGTTCGAGTTATATTTGTAGCCATACAACAACGTTGCCCAAGACAGTACGTTAGTCGCGAGAACGGAATAAAATGTTGGTTTTGTTAATGTTGCCATATGGCTACGATACATCTTATAGGGTTAATATTCACAAATTAGCAAATATCTGCTACAGGTACTTTTTCGGGCCGAAATTTTATACAAGACGCTTTTGACAAATCTATTTTGCCTTCCATGTGTAGAGACACTAAGAAAATTAATATATGACATCGGTATCAAACCTGGCTTAGAAGATCCTAGTGTATTTGAGACTCTAAAAAGAAAATGTATTATTATTCGATATTGATGAGATGAGTATCAAGTGCAATTTATTTTAAAAATAAAATAAATTAAGCCGCACGTTGCTGACTAAAATCTGCCGTAACAGTCTGTTGTCGATGACAAAAACTACGGCACTGGCTACTTTCTGTTGTTGGACACCCAAATGGCGGCGTGCGCAAAGATATGCGCGTAGCATTCCCGCCAAAGCGAGTTAGCTTGCCGATTGCTTTATATGCCGTGATTTATGTAAGGTAGAGACCATAGGTAGAGACAGAAGTCAATTTTTTCTATAAATAAAAAAGGCTTTGCGGTTGGTTGGAGAAATTATTAGAGACGTTTATTTTTGTAACGTTCAGAAGACAATATTTTAATTGAGATTGTTTGTATGAAACGATTATGTTGGCCATGATTTTTGTGATAAGGGTTTTTATTTAATGATTTATTGAACCAGAAACAAATTGGCATTATACAAGATGTTTCAAAAAACACGTGCGATCTCTCATGGCATGCAATCTCTCAGATTCCTCACATAAAAATAAGATTTATTTTTTATATCAACATAGGTCCGATTCTAGTTTGTTTCGTAGCAGGGGGTAAAAATCTTAATTTTTTTCAAAATTATAATAAATCGAAAAAAAATGAAGGCTTTAACCCTCTGTAGCTACGAAACAAAGAAGAATCGGATATATGTTAATATAAAAAAATGTTTCTTGAAACACCTCATATATCTATAAATAAATGTGGCGAAAAAATCTCAATAATTTAATAAGTTATTATTAATGATTAGGTATATAAGGGTGTTCTACTTAAGATGGATACAAGCCAATATCTTGGTTGTTTGTTGTCTGGCTGTATGGCTATAAGACGTATATTTTTCCCTTGGTAAGAAATGCGATACCCCATAGACGTACGTTTTAATGGGGTTTGATATTTTTTGAGTCAAGAGTCAACTACCCTTAGGACAGTATTTATTTCAAATCTGATAAATTATATTGAATCCTCCTTACCCAAGATACTTAAGTTCTAATTTTGATAAATATTGATACAGGGTGTGTCATTAAAATAAGACATTTTTATTTTTATTATTATTTTTTTAAGTACTTACGACGCCACTGGATAAACAACTGGTTTATTATCAATAACCAATTATATCCAATTATCAATTAATAATCGATTTAAGTTTTCAGATAGCTTCCATAAAAATTAAGACACGATACAAAAAACTAAATATTTTCAATTCATTTTGTTTACTTTAAAAAATTGTTTTTTAAGTGTGCTAATATAATGAATTAAATGAGTTACAAAATAATTTAAAAGCTCAGTTTTCAATGGAATCTAAAATATTATTTTTATTCGTTTTATTGAGAAATATTTAAAAAATTCCAAATAGTTAAATATTTAAAACAATCACTATTAACTTTGAAAAATATGCTCTAAACAAAGTTTTTTTTGTATCGTATCTTAATTATTATGGAAGCTATCTGAAAACTTAAATCGATTATTAATTAATAATTGGTTATAATTGGTCATTGATAATAAACCAGTTGTTTATCCAGTGGCGTCGTAAGTACTTAAAAAAATAATAATAAAAATAAAAATGTCTTATTTTAATAGCACACCCTGTATCAATATTTATCAAAATTAGAACTTGAGGATTCAATATTATTTATCAGATTTGAAATAAACATTGTCCTAAGGGTAGTTTACTCTTGAATCGAAAAATATCAAACCCCATTAAAACGTACGTCTATGAGGTATCGCATTTCTTACCCTGAGCAAAATGTACGTCTTATAGCCATACAGCCTCCTGCCAAAAATGAAAAATATCGCTCAACAAACAACCAAGATATTGGCTTGTATCCATCTTAAGTGAGACACCCTGTATATATAATTATTTAATAATATCTTTGTTAATAAATGTTTTTTAATAAATTAGTTTAAACCTATCATTTTTCTGTTTAAATCTGATTTGTATACATATCTTAGATCAGCGTCGTTGTGCTGTGAAGCTTGTCTTGTAAATAATGACCATAATAGAAAAGGTTGCAGTGGAACGATAGCCACCCCAAGAAGTCTAACGTTTCCATACTATAATATTTTGAGTTCTATACTGATCTGATCATCGAAACTGCGTGGTCTGGATTTTAACGTTAAAACAGTGATGTAGACAGCTTAATGGAAAATCAAATGTATTCAAAAAAGAGATAAAAATTGGGCTGATTCATTTCTTCTATGCGGTATTGCCAGATTTTGCATCAAAATTTCAAACCACACAAGGAGGCGTGTACGAAAAATGTTGCATGTACGGTTGAAACTTTATTTTTTAGAATTTGTTACTCATTTTACTACAGCAGTAATAGATATTTTATCTTAGATATTATATATTATCTTCATTTCAGTAAGTTTTTAAAATAGTTTTATTTTTTTCAACACATATTTCCTAAAAACCGGCAACACTGTATGCAGCTTTTTATTTTGTCTCTCTGTCTGTCAACCGGTCATTTATACTTATCTATGTCGCAGACATTAAAATACAGACCACGCAGATGAACTGACCAGGATGGTATAGTCCGATCCTGGAGATATTAATGGGTAAATTCAGCAGAAAATATTTTCACTTGATCTATAATTTAAAGAAATGAACTACATATTTTAATGTATATGTTACGGTTAATGTCGACATTAACAGGGTAATGTTTGGGTTTGGTTGTGTTTTTGGTTGTTTTGTTGTCTGTTATTCTCGAGATTAACCGTGTAATGTAGATATTAACCGAATATCGGACCTTAACCGTAACATACATACCTACTCTTTTTACCGCATTCTCTAATTTCTTCTTAATATCTTTCCTCTTCTCAATTAATTTTTTGTATGTCATTCCATATTGAAATTTTATTTTTCCTAAACCTATATTACACGTTTATGTTACGGTTAAAGTCCGATGTCCGGTTAATGTCGACATTAACAAGTTAATGTTGGGGTTAGGTTATATGTTTTTGGTTGTTTTGTTTTGTGTTATTCTCGAGATTAACCGGGTAATGTCGATATTAACCGGACATCGGACTTTAAACGTAACATTTATACATTATATTATGTGTATATGTTACGGTTAAAGTCCGATGTTAGGTTAATGTCGACATTAACAGGTTAATGTTTGGGTTTGTTTATGTTTTTGGTTGTTTTGTTGTGTGTTATTCTCGAGATTAACCGGGTAATGTCGATGTTAACCGAATATCGGACCTTAACTGTAGCATATATTATAGACTGTAAGCATATCACAAAGTAATTAACAGTAATATTAAACGCTTGATAAAATTATTCGTAAAAATCATAGTTTTATGCTTCAAAATTTCTGGTTATACAAAGGAAAAACATTATAAATAGCTTTATTTTCCCTATAAAAGCTAAAAAACTTTAAAACCCTACGTATTAAAGAGATACTAGAAAAACCGAAATCAAAATATAATCCAATATGAGCTTTTAAAATCGTTTAAAATATAAAAGCTTGTTGAATGGTGTAATGTTGATAAACATAATGCTTAATAAAATAAATCATACAAATAAACTGCAAACGAAAACATGCAGAGCTCATGTAGGATTCTGGTTTAATTGCGTCGTTATATTGGAAAATTATGAATGTAAATTAAATTGTAAATTATGTATATTCCACAATTTTTGGTAGTATCTTTGAAGTGCAATTTGCATGTAAACAAATTACACTAATAGGCGATTTAGTAAATTAGAGGGTATTTATTATTGATTTAAACAGGGTGGAACGAATTGTATTCGGGAAATTTCGGCAGCATATTCTGCAGATAAAAATAAGTAAAAAAGTTCATATAAATTCATGTCCTAAAATACTCTATTTCGTAGATATAGAGTGTAGAAGTTTTACTTTTGTTTCGTTTTTTTCCTAATAATTTCTGAACTATAGTCGATATTTGGATGAAAATTGGTGTCTATGATGTCTGTTTTTAAAAATATATTGGAAAAAAAAAGAAATGAAAATGAAATTTCTACACCCTGTATCTCCGAAACGAAGCATTTTAGGACATGAATTTATACGGCCTTTTTTACTTATTTTCAACTGGAGAATATGCTGCAAAAGTATCCCAAATACAATTCGGGCCACCCTGTAGAATATATGGTTGAACATTTTAGAGCAAAACTTATTTACAAAAATGTCGACATCAACTAACAGCAGGCCAAATAATCTAGTGCATGGGGAGCCAATAGTTGATTTCACAATTACGTATAATATTATTGTTATTTTATTGGTTATTCTATATAATTGGTTATTAGTTAATATTTTATTATTATAATAACAGACATTTTTTCTCTACAGGGTGACACAGCGTTTTGAAAAAGCCCTATATCTGGTTTCTGGTTAGATATTTTT